GTTTGAGACCATCAAACTCGGGTCGCCTTGCCGGGAATCGAACCTGAGCCCCCCCCATCATAGAGCAAGCGCTACAGCCACTACACCATAGGAGGCCGACAATTGTCACCCTGTCTTAGTAAAGATGAGCAAAAAATTGTAGATCATTAATTTTAAAGTGTAGTTAAATTTCCGGAGTGCGAAACGATTACGCGGCCACGAGGCGCGGCAACCTTCGTCACGTTTCTCTGTGGTCAGCGCGAGTCACCAATGACCCTCGCCCGTGAAACCGATGCTGAAAGTGCCAGTGACATTGCTTTGCGGCTTCAGCGAGACTTTCAATTGTTGTGCTCGCTGGCGCCGGAGCCGTTAAGTCTGCGTCCTCTCATGTTTCATTCCTTCGCTCAAATCACGTAACCGTCGTTGTTCCAATAGCCGGGCATCATGCGTGCTGCTCCTCTGTTACGTGACACGAACAAGTGCACTGACGTCACGTAGCAGGGTTGCCACAGTCAGGGAATACCGGGAAATGTCAGGGAATTTTAAAGAGTCAGGGAATACCGGGAAATGCCAGGAAATTTTAAAAAGTCAGGGAAAACCGGGAAATGCCAGGAAATTTTAAAAAGTCAGGGAAAACCGGGAAATGCCAAGGAATTTTAAAAAGTTAAGGAAAACCGGGCAATGTTAGGGAATTTTAAAAAGTCAGGGAAAATGACGAAAATGTCGAAAATGTCAGGGAGAATTTGTTAAATCACCCTCATTTACTTTCATGGAATGGGTTTGAGTTTTCGGGCAACACATTTTCCTGAAAACTATTTTCAATTATGCCTTCTCAACCATCCGTCACACCTTCAATTGTCAAGGAATTACACCAAAATGTGTCAGGGAAATCAGGGAACTGTCAGGGAATTTCATTTTCCAAATTTTGTGGCAACCCTGGCGCAGTGGTGCGAGCCAATCAGAGAACTTGGATACGATGTGGAAATTGACAGCGAAGAGAATGCGTTGTTAAATCCGTCAAAATCGTCATCAAAAATGGCTGCGGCCAATTAATCGATTTGTTTTGATGGCCAATGAGCAACGGTAATGCACAATGGCAAATTTCAAGTGTTGGCCGTCTGAATGGTTTCATTGTTCTCTTTTTCCTCTATACGTCGTGCGATTACTATGAAATTTTTTGGAAACGTCTGGAAAAGCACAAGGAATTAATGGAATTTAATGCAAGCATGATCAAGTCATCCAATCTGGAGAAACCCTTTTTCAAAATTTCGAAGTCAGAGACTGGATTAGGTTCGTTTTTGGAAGGATGGTTATTGTATTACCGTTGAAATTCGGACTTACTAGAAGCGAAAAATTAATTTTCAACTAAATTCTGAAGAAAATAAAGAAATCCCGGAGTATAGGTTAAGAAAAAGCGCGGCAATTGGCGGAAGCAACACAACTGGGTGAAAATCAGTGGTTTTTCCATCTTTCACTTCACAACATGCAATAATTTTACTATGGACAATTTACAATCCTATTTTTACCGCCGTGCATGAAAACTTTGACTTGAGGTTGTCTTCACGTTCGATTTTCAATCTTCGGGGTTGCTGGCCGTCTGGAAAACCGTGGGGGGGGGGGTCGTCAGGGAATGTCAGGGAATTCACAGGAAAAGACAGAAAAATTTGCGAGGTGCCTTTCGCAAAAGTAAGGGTAATTTAAAGGGGGAAAAAGTCGAAGTGGAAGTATTATTCGAATGTCAGGGAAAAGCAAAACTATAGTCTGGGAAAAGTCAGGGAATTTGAAAATGAAGAAATTATGGCAAGTCTGTCTTCTGAATCACCGCCATTTTGGAATTTTGGAAAATAGATTTTGGTCAAACCGTTTACATCGGAGGTCGGGTCGAGAAATTTTGAATTTGGTTCCGATACCGGTCACTCACGAGCTCAACGGACTAGCAGATTTGGTTGGAAAAAATGTCCGGTTCAAGGATTGGGTCCGAGTAGTGAACCAAATCATGTTGCGAAAATCCGCCTTAATTTAGGGTCTTACGGGACAAGGCGCATAAGTGCAGTTGTTGAAAAAGTTAAGATACCAATGATTTCAAGTAAGACTAGTCCTGATGGACATTCTGTCAAATGTTCTCTCCAAAATTCCATTTTTGAAGCATTAAAAAGTCAGTTTGAACTTTCTTGACGCCATAAGGATCCAGGTAATTTCAAAACTTCAATTACGCATTTCTCGAAGTAGGAAATACTGCACTTATGTGCCTTGTCCTCCAAGCCCCTCAATGAAGAATTTGCAGATATCTAAAATTTTGTAAATTTCATAATTAAACTGAAACTGCTGCGGAAACTGAGCACGAGGATATCCTTGGTTTCTAAATTGAACAATTTTTGGAAGAAATGTGACAAAAGAACCTACTCCACCAAAAAGTACCCCGGTAAAAATTGGCGATGAGAGCTGCGTTTCAAAATACCATAGGAATTATTATAGCCGGCTAAAGAAGGCCATAGAAAATCATATAGCTGGCTGTAGAATGCGGAGAAAATCCTACGGCCGGGCTATACGAAGCGATAAAAAATTATGCAGCCGGGCTACAGTTCCTATAGCCGGGCTTTACATCACTGAAAAAACGAGAGTAGGGCTGGGCCCTAGAATTGCTTCACCTCCACCGCCACAGGGGCAGGCCCTGCGCGGGTAAGGCCCAGCCCTACCTGGACAGGGTCTAGCTCTTACCAGGTAGGGCTGAACCCTGGAGCAGGTAGATTTGGGCTCTACGCGCGCCGGGCCTTCTCCTATGGCGGTGGAGGTGAAGCAATGGAGCACTAGACAAGGTACGAATTTCAGCATTCTGATTCATGTTTCTTAACCAAAATTTCACGTAAAACACGATGCGCACAGCGAAAAATACAGAAATCAACTCCTTACGAAGATATTTAATGATTCCTGATGCGTAAATTCAAACCACCCGCTCATGAAAACTCAATACTCTACGTGATTTACATCGTGCGCTAAACGTTATCATGACAGTATCTGCGATTTAAAAATGTGGCAACCTCAATTTTGACGCTTTGGCTCAACTATAGCAAATTGCTCATAATTTGAACAACACATGGTGGGAAATGAACATTGCTCAATTGAGAAGCTTGCTGAAACCGTTGTAGTGCGCGATTTGACTCACGTAGAGCTTTGAGTTTCTTGTCAGCGGGCAGTTCAAATTTCTTGTACCCAATGTGAAATAAAAACGTTGATATCTTCGTTAGGAGTTAGTTTTAGTAATATCCATTGCGCTAATCGTGTTCTACGTGAAATTCTGGTCAAGAAACATGTATCAGATTGCTTAAATTCGTACCTTGTCTAGTGGTCCATTTTACCTACCCGGTTAGGGCTGGGACCTTCGGCGCAGGTATCAGCCCTAAACTCGTTTTTTCCGTGGCACTTTATTGCCTGGCTGTTGCTTTTTCGCCATCGGCCATAAAAGGCTATAAGAAATTGTGTAGAAATTCGTGTGCTTTGGAAATCATTAAGTTTGATACGGAACCACCTTAATATTTACAAAACACGCGTTATATTTTCCTTTAATACATTTTTTTTTTCATCAATTAAAACGAGAATAGTCCATACAGGATGTGCAAACAATTCAAAATCATGAGTTGAATAACGCTGACTCCGCCAGATTAAGTATATTAGAGCCTAACACAAAGCGGAGCGGCGACGCACTGGCGCCTACGAACCTAACAGGGATACTTCACGCATTGCGCAACGCGTGAAGTATCCCTGTTAGGTTTGTAGGCGCCAATGCGCGTTTCGCGCTGGCTACCCGCCTGCCGCACCGCAGCGTGCCACGGCGCTTGAACCAACTATTTCACAACAGAGGTATTGCACAGTATCATACGAAACTGAAGGCGTTCTAATATATTAGGAATGGCAGGCATCCATCAAAAGCACGGAGCTTTCCTCGCAAAATAAATCAATATATTACGGCCCAAAAAGAGAGCAGTGGTCCAAAAACTCACTAAGTCCTAGCATCCGTAATTTTTACCAGGGTATGTGTTCAAATGGAAAATACCGCCAGATGACGTCACAAGGCAGCACATTTCCTCACTTTTAAATCCACTTCTCTCCAATATCCCATTTCAGGAAAAAATTTCCAAAAATACTGCTATCTCAGCTCATTATAAGCACTCTCAGATGAAGTGATAAAAAGTTTGCGTGCAAATTCTCCGTCGCTCCATTTCATATTTTCAAAGGATACCAATCTTCCTCTCCATTAATGAGCACGATATAGTCATATTCGAAATCAAATGAGACCAAATGATCGCTCACGTAACTCAACTCCCTCACGCTGCATTCCGCCGCTGTCATCTAAAAAACCCGGAACTCTTTGTACGCGGACAGCATGGAGATGTTGCATGTGTGAGGGATTTGCGATTTGACCATTGATTCTTATGTAAAAGTTCGTGAGAAACACGATGGTGCCACTGGTTTCCTCTGAAATCATCTCCCAAGCTCAAAAAAAGCTCTCAAATTGAGGCCAAAATGGAGGGGATATCCCACCCTACCCTGAGAGTCCACCTGTACATCAAAACAAACTCTCCATGCAAAGATAGGGAGCAAATTCATTAGCAGGGTTGCCGTGTTTTCAGTTTTGGAGTCCCCAAATAAAGTGGCAACCCTGCTAATGTATTTGCTCCCTATCTATGCATGGAGAGTTTGTTTCGATGTAGAGGTGGACTCTGAGGGTAGGGTGGGATATCCCCTCCATTTCGGCCTCAACTTGAGAGCTTTTTTTGAGCTTGGGAGGTAATTTCAGAGAAAACCAGTGGTACCGTCGTGTTTCTCGCGAACTTTTACAAAAGAATCAATGGTCAAATCGCAAATCCCTCGCACATGCAACGTCTCCATTATCTGCGAAAAATCTTGGCGCAAAAACGCCCGGCCAATTACGCGAAAGTCTCGATTCGTAGGTGAAGTGCACTCGTGGAGATAAGGATTATCAGGCCTTTGCGCTCCTCACTATAAAATATCTGAATTTCGTCTCGGGTAAGAAGTGTTGGGCAGTCGATCACCGGTACCCGAAGACTTCTCCACACGAAAATCCCGTCTTTAAGGTGCGTCTTAGCCGTGCGTAATTGCCGCGCGTCCTGTCTTCAACGCTCCGTCTGTGCTTTGAAAGTTATCGGTTCCATTACATCAGATCCCGAACTTTGTCCACGATGAAAAGGCCCTATTTTTAACTTGTTTACCGGTGCCCCGGCCGTTCTCCCATTTTCCCGTTGTTCTTTTAAATATATATCGGACTCCGGTCCGGAGTTCCATTCATCCGTCTCGCGTCGATCGAAGAGTTCCCATCGAGAAATTGTGCGAGTGTGTATAACGTCTGAAGCTTCACGCTGCTATTTGACAGTTTCACGTAAGTCGCAAACAATTGACTTGTCCCTTATCCGCTTCAGACGCACAAAGATTTTGATGTGAATTCTACTGGCCCGGTTACACGCTCAAATTTCCGTCAAATTCCGATCATAATGATGACCAAGATGGCGGTCGAGAGTTATCTAGATTGATGAGTAAAATTAATTAAAGCAGCGTGTCGATTGAAATAAGCATGAAATAAACACGGTTGTGTGGAAATCAGATGAAGGATGAGCCCCACAGCTCCTTCATCTACCGTCAAATTTTTGCAGGCCGCAGAAATTTGATGGTAGATGGTGCGCACCAGTCACCATTTGATCGGAAATTGATGGAAATTTGAGCGTGTGACCAGCACATACGAGAAAATCTACCGAACATGGAATCGCGAGGAAATAATTTTGATCCCGAGACAATTAGACTAGTGGCGAGGCGTGAATGAACGATCATCGACATTTTCCCATTTGATGCTATGGTAAAATATCGATTGTTAAGGTGTTGGTTGCGGATACCCTGTTTATCGATCTTTTACATGGGTTTACATGGCTGATTAACCGATATATCGCATAGAGCGCCGCGCCACTGGATTAGACAGCAGTCCGCAGTCTTCTGTAATCGAAAAGAAGAAATGAAAATGAATTGTAACATAATAAATTTAAAAAACCACTCCGATCAAGAGCTGCAGAAAGAGTGCTAATAATATTGGTCCCCAAATTTGTTGGTTTACGTGCTGCAAATTGAGTGAACATAACCTAATCGGGATGTTAGTATGGGGTCCCAAGTTGTGTTATTTCTGATTCTAAGATCTTACGCTGTCGTCGCGATGCGTGGATTAAGCGAGAAGCAGCAATGCTTAGAGCAGAATATGACTTAGATGCACTGACGGCTTGAAATTCTGTTTCAAGACTCCCCGTCCTAGAAAATTTGGACTTATGCAGCTAGCAGTTGTAGTTAGGATACGGACCATACTGCCTCGCTAAAGAAGGACGCCGTATGAGCCTTCAGACGTTGACAAATTTCCTTCGATAAAAAACGGCTTAACCGGGAAAATTGTGAATATTTTTTTCCAAAGTTTTCAGGCAATTTTTTACGCAATTTTAATCTAAAATTATCTTAAAATTTCAACAAAAAAAAATCCGCATGAATGTCGTCAAAAATCCATGTTTTAACACAAGAAGTTTGGCAACTCTCGACTATTTATACTGTGTTCTTCCTTAGCATGGCAGCACAACTTTTGATTGGCTCGTCCAACTCTTACGTCACAAGCCTGTATAGAAGGCGTATACATTACTATTGTTGATTGCTCAGTGAGATATAGTCTGTATTGCGCGTTACGATTCAGTAATTTCCATGTAGTTTTGCTACAATAGCCTACGTCCATGGTCCCTCCATTTTTCTCCCTTGGTGAGCTTTAGGGCCACGTGGAAAAATAATGCTAGCATGATCATCTGACTGCCTGACCATACCGACCATATGTAATCCACAGGAAGTCTCTTAGTTGGTGGCAGTGCCCTAACCATCCGTTTAGTTCTACGAGATACTGATTTTATCAGTACAGGCTTGTAGTTGTCTCTGTCACTTTAAGGCTTCCATAAGGCATAATAAATACCAGTCAATGAAGCATTTAGGTTTAAAAAAACGACTATTATTGAATGATGCTCTGCAAAAAAGACCGCAATCCATTTTTTACAATTTCGAGTTACTATAGTGTCACGATATTCAAATGAAGCATCTCTTTGCACGTACCGAAGAAAAACATGATTTAAGCTCTCCAACAGACACGTTTTAGGGAGCCTCTGAGTGTCGAGAAACGAAACTCAAAATCGCCCAAAAACTCGACTGTATTTTGCAAATAGGAACTACAATTTCTGGCTCATCTATTAAAACACTTATGCGCATAGGTAAACTAACGACACGTACGTTGTTTCTAAACTGAGCTGGGAATTGTAGTTCTAAATTGCAAAATCTGGTCCGACTATTGTTCAGCTACTATCCCAAGCCTCTGATTTCGTCAGCGAGTTCCATCGTTTGAACCCTGTCTGCAGCATAATTTTACTCACCTTTTAAAATTCAATCGAACGAAGCGAGAAAGCATGGTTCCAACGGATTGAACACCGGCGTAGCGTTCTTTGTTTTATCGTTTCGTTAACAGCTGTCTTTGAACTTGACCTTTAATTCAACTGTTCTTATCAGTGACTCCCTAGAGCTTTTAAGCAATTAATAATTTCTACGAATTGTTGAGAAGCTAGACCATCATAGTCTCATCTCCCGTGTAAAAACTAGCAGTTGAATTGTGCGCGCACGTGGATGGCTTGATCTGATCCGCACAAAGGTGCAAAATGAAATTTCATTTTGCAGAAAATTGTTCATTGTTCATGAGATTTCAGGGACTGAGAATGCAACCTTAACATGTATCCCAGAATTCGATTAGGAACTTCGAAAGACTCATGATATTTTTTCCCCCAAAGCTTTTGTGATTGAGATTATGTTGCTTCTGCGTTTGGTGGCGTATTGAGGCCATTGCAGAAGTTTTTTTTAAAAAAAAAATTATTCAAACAGTTTCGTGGACTTTTGCATCTCTGGATCTCCGCGATTTGGAATTTCATCCAAATGAAACCGGCAAGTTGGCAAATCTGCCTTTTTAAAGATTTATTTGATTGGAACGATGCTCGCACGCAAATCTAAGTTCCTTAATTTCATTAATTGGCATAATGAATGCAATGTAACATTTAAAAAAACCTCGAAAGTACGACAATGACCTCTGAATTTTACTGTTTTTGACCTAGCCGACCGTCACATTTCAGTCTCCTCGTAACGCACCATAAATGCAACTAATATAGTGCCTGTGCCTACGGCTGGTTGTGTTGCATCAAAGAAAAATTGACTTTTCGGGAGAAAGAAAAGAAAAAAACAACGCTCCAGGTGTAAGAGCCATAATTTGGTTCTATACTACTGTGTTAAGGAAGAGCGCCGTATGAGCTTTCAGTCTTTGCTGAATTCCCTTTGATAAAATACGAATTTTAAAGGAAATCTGTCAATATATTTCAGAGGAGTTTTCAGAGGATTTCATTCGCAGTAAGATCTAGTTACCTGAAAATTGCATGAGGAAATATCCATAACTCTCCTTGTAAAAACATTACTTGAGGAAATTTGGCAACTCTCAAATGTTCATACGTCGTTTTTCCTATGCACGGCAGTATAGTGACATCGTCCGCGTTTAGCTGGTGCCACGGTTCCCAAATCCTCAGAATTATCCGAACGGTTTGTCCATACGCTCTTACAAGAAGAGAAGATATAAGTTCAAGCGCCTTCGCTTTTTCTGAACGCAACACGGCCATCATTTAAGCTCGAAAAGTTGTCCTCGCACCTGGACGTGACATTCGGGGCATCTGAAAAATCATCTGTCTAAAAAATTGGTCATCATTGCAACTAGCGTATTTCTTTACCTTTCACCCTTTTCCTCACATCTCGCCAACTACCCAGTCATGAAGGTCGCTCGTAGTGGGTCATTTGCGCTGGTCACGGAATCGTGTTTTGATGCTTGTTTCTAGTAGATTAGCCATAAATAATAAAAGCTGTCTAAACAGAAACTTTCTACGTTCAATATTAAGCGAGATATTGACTTTTGAGAAGTCTGTTATTTTACGTGATCTCCCGTGGTAGTTACACCCTTGGTTTCTTCCACCTTGTTTTCATTAGTCAGTGTGACGCAAATTTGCACTGGTTACTCAACGTGAAACTCGAATGACAGCAAGGTGGAAGAAACCAAGGATGTCACTACTGCGGTGGATGATGTCAGAATCGGACTTTTCAAAGAGCGAATGCGCGGTTAATATTGAACGTAGAAAGTTGCTGTTTAGACAGGTCTTATTATTTTTAGCTAATCTACAAGAATCAAGCATCAAACCACGATTCTATGTCCAGCGCGACTGACCCATTCAAATATTTCTGTTCACGATGAGTTCGATCTGTTTGGGTAAAACACCGCCCTTTTCCCTCTTCTATCTCTCAAATTATCAATTTTCTATCATGATTTTCCATTCAAAGGCCAAGAAACCTATCAATAAACCTATGCAATAAATTTAAACAATTAAAATATTCCAGATTTGTCGCCGCTCACGCTTGAGTTGTTACGTTTTTGAACTCACGTTGTGCGGTTGCCTATCTATCTGAGGGCGAACTTTCACCCAACAAACGTGCCTGCAAATCGAGTTTTATAAATACCAATCTGTTTTTAGAATCAGCGAAGGTTTGCGAAAAAGAGGATGCTCTCGGAGGTTATTCTTGTCGTTCGCTGATAACTCGGAATTATTTTAAAGGGGTCAAGAAACTGATACTGCTCCTGATCCAGACACGGGCTCAAAATTTTAGCAACTCAGCAAAAGCTGCGTACTTGTAAAAGAAGCTTTGCAAAAAAAAAAAAAAACAATCGAACCGATAGAAAACACTTTTCTCTCCTAAAACTGCACTATGAGGTTTTTTTCAGAGCTCTCAAATTTCATATTACATAATTTATAGCTCATTGCCTGCACTAATCACTCGAGAGAATAAGTAACCTATCACCATGGGTTATGGGGAACATAATTGCAGGAAGTGTGTATTATCTTGAAATAATCTGATACTATAAATGTAAATAAATACTGTTACAAATATATATACAATACGATTTTTCCTAATTTCTTGGTTATAATTTTGTCCTTATCAGTAACTTCAGTAGTATGAAACATTTTGAACATCAATAATTGCCTTCAAGTATCCCCGTCATTTTTATTTTATTTTTATTTTTTATTTTTTCATGATGAATGATTATATCAATTTCCCCCGTTGTATCTCTTTAATTGTAGAGGAGTATCAACCCAGGGTTGCCACAGTCAGGGAAAACCAGAAGATGTCAGGAAAGATTTGTTAAATCACCCTCATTTGCTTTCTGGAATGGGTTTGAGATTTCGGACAACAAATTTTCCTGTAAACTATTTTCAATTATGCTTTCTTAAGCATCCGTCACATCTTCAATCGTCAGGGAATTCCACCCAAATGTATCAGGGAAATCGGGGAAATGTCAGGGAATTTCATGTTCTAAATTCTGTAGCAACCCTGTCAAACCCCCCCCCCCCCCAAGCAGATCTTTCAGTGGCTATTACTTGAAAGCCCAGTGAGTTTTTCATTTTCACCGCTCACACAACTCATGTCGCCCATCCACGTGCGATTTATCAAAAAGGGACGGAATTAAACCTCTCGAAAACTCGGTAAAATTTATTCTTTAAAATTTCCAATAATCGGTTGGTTATCTGTCAGTCTAGACTCTCAAATTCACGCTCGGTAAATTGATAGTGACGTGTAATTGAATGAATGAAAAGTGCGGCTGCGATAGGGTAAAAGTAACTAATGCGGAAACGATAGAGTTCATAATGCAAACAAATCCACGTTACATTTTAAGCTTATCATCTTAAGTCGTCCGGCCAGGTGATAATAAGGGCGTCTTATCACCTGGAAGTCAACTTAGGAGGACTCCCGCTATGTGTAGAAGGTAGAGCGGCTTTAAGTAAAGAAACCGAGTTTAAGTAATAATTATCCGATGAGGTAGGGTCGTCAATGGCTCATTTTATCAAGGCTCAAAAAATAAATCCGTTTATCGTTACGGCTCCTGCCGTGCTAAGGACAAACACCGTATGAACCTTCAGGCGTTGCCAAATTTCCTTTGACAAATCACTAATTTTCAAGAAAATTTGTGAATATTTTTCTTCCGATCTCTCGGGTAATTTTGCTTGCAATTCGATCTTAAAAGTCTGCAAATTTCAAGGAAAAATATTGGTTGGTTTTCTCAAAGATGAACATTTATCGGAGTAAATTTGGCAACTCCCGAATGTTCATACGGCGCTCTTCCTTAGCAGGGCAGCATTGCTGTCAGTTATTTTTCCGCTCCTTATTAATTAATGTGGATTTGTGTCGGCTAGTCCCAGAACTTGCACCGCCCGGATGCCCTCAATCCGGGAACGCTCTCTATTTGTAAGATTTCTTCCCCCTTTCTTGTTCATCCCTTGTCGGCGGAACCGCGTCTTATCCAGTTGCGTTTCAAAGACGTGTGTCCTTACACTGGATAAAAAAGTCTCTTGGATCTAGAGTCCAGTGTCTTCAAAAATTTAACAAGAAAAAATACTCTTGATTCGATCGGTTTATCGCTTGAATCAAGAGGAAATCCGCTTATATTATGAGGCTTGGCTCTCGATTAAAGCAAAAATTCGATTGAATCAAGATTATTTTCTTTGTTTTTGGGGGGGGGGGGGGGGNCAATTTTTTTAAGAATCTGGACTCTGGACCAAACAGACTTTTTTTTCCAGTGTACATTTTGTTCGAGTGCACCGGAAAATCCTTGAAGTTTTCACTTTTGGGTAATATCGACGGTCTAAATCCAATCACGTATCTCGTTTGCGGGTGTTTTAAAATCTGCACTCCTATTTGGATTACATTTTGCAATAAGGAACCACTATCTCAGGCTTTTTCATAATAGCACATATCTGCAAAGGGAAACCAATGGCACGTTTGTTGTTCCTAAAGTGGGCCAGAAATAGTGGTTCCTCATTGCAAAATGTAATCTATTTGATCTTCTTAAAAGGAGAACAAAGCGACATTGACATCATTCCTCGAAGTTTTCGCAGAATTTTCTTCGCACAGAGAAGAAAAATGACGGCGGTTTCTAAGAATTGCCATCGAGTGGTCTTCCATTTGGACGTATTTCTGGCAAACGGAACTATGTGCATTAAGACATGAGCCCCGAGACCCATAAGAATAAATGCATAACAAGGCTCACGTCATAATGCACATAGTTCCGTTTGGCAGAAATACGTCCATTTAGATATTGAAGTATGACAGGAAGTCAGCAGTGTCGCCTCCTGAGAAACATGATCGCGGACTTATACGCTATTGGTTTGCTTATTTTATCGTACTCTAAACGGTCATAAAATAAATGATCCAAAAATGCAAAATTCAAGATTCCTACCGGCAAGTATTTTGAATTGGTGATTTCCAAAACATGGAGATAGTAAACACAATTACACGCCCTCTTCGGAATCCTGTGTCCCAACTTTTCTCTACAATTTTGGGAGCCATCTTGGCTGAGAAGCTTAATCCTTAGGCGCCATCTACAATTTGCAAAGGCCAAAGTGATTTTTTGCTGACGATCGTATGGTGTGTTATCGCTGCTTCACAAATTCGCGGCAGGCTGCGTTAGACTTTTCTGGACGCGGATTCTAGCCAGCTTATGACTACTTAAGCGCCGAATCCTCGTTTTTTCTGCCGATTTTGCACATGGCACCCGTTAAAGTTGAAATTCTGCTGAAAACTATGTTTTTTGAGGTGCGAACTTCAGTCTACCTTTTTTGGCGATTCGGTTCTACGAAAAAAAAAAAATTTCTCAGCCGCATGTTCTTAACATACTCTTTGGCGCATTGTTCCTTAGCCTTCGATATTTGCTTGTCTGATCGTTGGTTTTTTATATCCACTCAAGACAACCAACCAACATTTGGATGTCTGTGTTGAAATTACGCCCATTTACATTGGAATTTCTATGAAAAGTCCTGACTGAATGAACTGATCCCCCGTTATACTTTCCAGAACAAAATTACTTTTCCTCGTTTAATCTGACGGAGATAATGATATTCAGGGGGCAGCATCATTACCGACCTGAGTTTGACCAAGAGGTGCAATGTCGATAGCGAGAAACTGCTTTCGTTGCTGAATTGGTGTTTCTGGTCAGACACGAGGCTGTTTTGCTTAGATGTGCATGCTCATTTCCATGTCCAGCGGTCGTTATCATGAAAAAATTCGGATGGAAATGTTTCATCCGACCGTTTCTTCTACTTTTTTGACATTGGAATTAAAACTCGAAAACGGGTTTCAATTGAATTTCATCCTCTTTCGCGATGTCGCGGATGTACTTATCCACCCAAAAATCCCATTTAATTAGGCAAAAAAAAAAAAAAATTGCGCAAGTTTCATATCGATGCTTGCATCATTTTCTCTTGATGAACTGAACTTTCATCGGGCCAGAAGCTCGGTGAAGCTTATCTTCCGATAAACAACTGATCTGCGCTCTCAGAAGCTGTCAACATCTCACCAACGCAATAAGAGATTTCGGATGATAAAGCGGGAAATCGAGATCCACCGTCAGCTCTAAGGCGAATAAATATGTTTTCATACTTTATTTGTAACTAATTTCGTGTCTTTTCCGATTTTGTTTACAGTGTGAAACGATTTTAACTTGGATCCAGATGAGATGGGCCAGGATCAGAAGTTCACACCCCGCCAGTGGGTCACTCTCTTCGTTATCAGTTGTGTCCATTTCTTCAGTGCTATCTGTATATCTTTACAAGCACCTTTTTATCCTGGAGAGGTACGATTTTTTCCAGTTCGCACGTGCAACATTAAGTAAATAAAGTTAATCAGTGCCTAATGCTCAAAAAATAATCAGCTAGAAAGAATAATGTTGTTTCTTCAGGATTCATGCGGCTTTAAGCTAGAGGCAGACTGGCATTTGGGCTAACATGCAGCTCCCAAAAGGGCTGTTGAAAATGGTTCTGTGGACGCGTCGTGAGGAGAAAAAAGAGAAATTGTGTATTTTCTTCGGAAAATACACTAAAATACACTAAAAGAAAGTATCAACAGGAGTATTGACGGTGAAACTACCAGACCGCGTACCTGGGGTTGCGACGTTGTAGACTTCCCGGGACACTTTTTTTTTTAATGTAAAACTATTCAATGTACATTCTTGAAAACTTCCGCGTGTATTCACCCTTGTGCGAAGAAAACTCTGTGAAAATTTCAAGAAATGATAATGATTTGTTCACCTTTAAAAAAATATAATGGGAGTGGAGATTTTTAAAAACCGCAAAAGAGACACGTGGTCTGGTAATTTCACCATCGATGTGTGCAATTTTGGACGGATACCCTGGCATTTATAGCCATTTACAAACTGAAGGGTGATAATTTACGGGACGAGTGAAGTTCATGGTGGTGGGATGCAAGGAAGGAATGATATAACCAACTAAGAAGGAGCAGATAAGAAAGACAAAGGAACATGGTAGGAGCAGGATACAATGCACATAGGACGTATCATAACGACGGTGAAACCACAAAACCACGTATCTCGATTTCCGACGTTGCTGACTTCCTGTCTTTCTTAATTTTTCAAATGAGAAACAACTCATCGGCAATTCTTGAAAACTGCCGTAGTTTTTCTTCTCTGTACGCAAAAAATTCTGTAACAACTGGTCTAAATGATGTTGGTTTGTCAGCCTTTAAAAATATGAAAAAGGAGCAGAGATTTTAAAACACCACAAACGAGATGCGTAGTTTGGCAGTTTCGCTGTTGATAGGTTTTTCTAATTTTATCAAAATTTGAGGTGAATCGCATGCGATTAAGAGATTTTTTTTTTCAGCATTTAAAAGCTGTCCTCCTTTCTCGTAACTTTAAATCTTGTTTTTTGCTTTCAGGCTGAAAAGAAGGGAGCTACAGCCTCCGAGTATGGATTAGTTTTTGGTGTTTTTGAATTAGTATCCTTCTTATCAAGTCCACTGTATGGAAAATATGTAAGTTTATTTTTTTAAATTTGTTTCTCTTTTTTCATCACTATTCCCTCTTCATTAAGCTACTTTGTTGCTTCAACGAAAGACAGTTGCGCTGAGGAACAGAAATCCTAGGCATGAGCCACAAAGAATAAATTTAAAGAATGAATGGATTTTCCCAATTCTATCAGGATTTGAGATCAATCAGGATTTAATCCCGATTTCATCAGGATTTGAGGAAAAATCGGTCGTAAAATCAGGATTTGAGTTTGCTCATTTTCTGTTTATTATCTGCTATCCGTCTGTTAAATTTTCTCTGCAAGAAATCAGGATTTGATTAGGATCTGGAAAAATTATGAAATAAGGATTTAGCAGTCAAAAATAAAGAAAAAGCAGGATTTCATCAGGATTTTCCATTATGAAAAAAAATAGACATCCTGTAAAATATCGTTGTTTCCTGTTTAAGGACCGTAACTCCATTCTAAGCTTGGAAAATCGACTCAAACGATTCAATTCTTTTCAAGAATGTACCTGTGCAATTTTTCCACGAAATTCGCCTGATTTTTGCATGAGATCAGGAAAAAAATCAGGCAAATTTTTACTAAGGGGAAATTTGAAAACATTGAAAGGTAGTTAGGTTCTTTTGTGAAGGAGACGCTGATATGCCACCCAAAAACTGTTGTGAAAATAACTATCTCTTTCCTGGTGGTTATCTATACCTGGTATTGCAATTAAAATTGCAAACTTGTGCAAAATGAAAGTGACTTTCGATGTACTTTTGACTGTGACTAAAATGTTGATTAATCAATTTTGTGTCTGATAAGTTACGTAAAATATAGTACCTAATTTAGTTTAGCAGTAATCGCTGAGTCAAAATCTCCGAGTGTCTGGTCTTATCACTTCCCTCCTATTATGGAAGTTGATGAACTTGAAAATTGTTTCTTCAAGAGGCGCTGTTTTTCGGATTACATTTTACAATTAGAAACTGTTATTTTTGGCTCATTTTAAAACAGCATATGTGTCTTTACTTTTCCCTGTACAGATAGCATCTTCCATAAATGAAGTAAAAATAGCAGCTCCTTATTTCAAAATGAAGTCCATTTGTAAGTCAAATAATAATGTAGTATTAATTCGTATTCTTCCCGAGATTTTCCCACTGTTTCAAGGGAGAAACAATTTTATGAGTTCATAATGATCATGTACTCCAATCATGAATTGCCTATCGATGGCCAAAGCAAAATCAGGTATCTCCGTTGACGACATCGCAGACTTTCCGTCTTATTTCATTTTTCCTTTGGAAAACTAGTCACGTTGCAAAGGAGATACGTGGTTTATCACTCTGGCCATCGATATACCACTTAAAAAAAATTGCTTCATCTTTATTGAGTAATATTCCTATCGCATTTTTCCTCCTTTTTTCACTCAAAGACTGTGATTTTTTTCCAGATTCATATCTTTGGTGCAAGATGTATGTTGAGCTTAGGTATTCTTATTATGTCCATATCTTCCATATTATTTGGGTAAGGATGTTTCATGTTTATTTATTTTAAATTCTTTGTTTAAAACAATGCTGACAATACTTTGCTCATTCTGGAATAAAGATCGAAAACTTGCAAAGCAAAAGAGTAGAAAAAGACACATCAAAATCTAATAAAGCAACCAGTATAATAATTTCATCTTCCCTCATACCTTTTTGACAAATTTTAACACCGTCATTTTCGTGTTGCTGCTGAGACTGCATAAAACTTTAGTTCACAATTAGTCCCCTGCTAAAAACCTTATTCAGCTTCCCTCAATCAATTCAACCTCTAGCAGAAGATGACGCCATGAATTTAAAGAGAATTCCAGCATATTACTTTATGTCATTCGGCTTTGATAAAGGAAAGAATCGAACTTTTAATTGGATAATTGTACAGATGTACCAAGCATTGTGATAACAGCAGGTCAAGAGCCACAAAGTTATCTGACTTGCGCTATTTTTTAACAGAATGAATTTGATCGACTGCGATACCTACCGTACAACAAGCAACTCTTCATTATGTAGATAATGAAAAGTCCTTGTAAATTTTGTGACTGGTATACTCATATAATGTCAAATTAAAGAGAAAACCGGTGCTTTTATACTGTAATTTAATAGTTTGTATTTCATGAGGAATGCTTTAGAAAGAAGGCCGAACTTTAACGAAAAACTGGACCACCCAATTCTAAGCAAAAAGCTTCTTTCAGCTCTAAGAAAAGCCAAAATTCGTACGGTGCTAGGTTATGTCGCAGTGTAAACATTTTTATGACGCTCAAAAAAAAAAAATAAAAAACCCAAAATGACCACTCTAGTAAAATGGGTCGAAAAATAAGCCTTTGTGGATAAATGACGGATGAGAAATAGAGACTTTTTCATTGTCGGATGGAGGATAGAAAGTTCTCTTCTTCATTTTATTTTTTGGTGAGACACTGCTTGTGAAGTAAAATGATACAAGGTTTGATAAAATATATCCTTTAAGATCCTCCTGACAATTTGTGTATCACTCTTTCAATTAAATCACTTCAAAATTCATTTTGAAGAATGAATGCATTTGTATGTTTGTTTTTTACAGCCTCCTTGATCTCGTCATGAGCCATAACTGGTTCATTAGTCTATCATTTCTAGTTCGTATAATAGAATCATTGGGTGCAACAGCAGCTCTCATTGCAGCATTCTCTCTAACTGCAGCATGTTTCCCAGACTCCGTTGCAACAACATTTGCAACCCTAGAAGTTTTCTACGGTCTGGGCTATATTTTTGGACCAACCCTTGGCAGTCTTCTGTTTGACGTAAGTGGTGCCTCGATTATTTCTAAAGATGCTCTTTTAAAAATGCTAATTTATAGTCTTAGCCTTTTTTTAAAACAATTGACATAGTTTTGAAGTAGTTCTCTCCCAACAGATGATGTCAAACGAATTTTATCATGATAATACTGTGGCTTGTCTGTCTCTTATCCGTCACAATATTTGCGTCAAGGATCTACAAGTCTATATACCAAAAATTTAGACAGGTTGTATTATCTCGTTGCTAAAGCTAGAAATCGTGTCATCATAAATTTTTCAATCTAGCACAAATAATTATATGCTTCTTTATGTACGAAATGTTCTTACACTCTTATAACAACTCAGCTGATTTCTCTTACAGAATACTTAATTTATTTAAACGTTTTTTTGTCAGATCGGTGGATTTCAGTTGCCGTTTATCATGTTGGGAATTGTGACCTCAGTTGTTGGAATTACCATCTACCTTGTGTTACCCACTTATGTTGAGGAGGATAATATGCGGTCTAACAAGAGTAAGTACTAAAAACATGTTTTTAAATTACACTTTGATTAGTGCGTCTGATGGCTGTCACTGATTGACCCAAAACTTAAACACAGGAAGAGGTAATTTGTTTTAGCCTACACTACGATCGTCAATCCATTCCTAAGTTGCACAGTTTTTTGCAATGCACTTTCAAATAATTTATCTTTCACAAGTAAACATATTTACCATCAATGTGACTTTAAAGACAGCGTGCTGGTGAAAATTGTGAGTCAAAAGTATGCACTTGAATACTCCTGCACTCATGAGCTAGAGTGAATTTTTCTTTGAAATACACCCGACATTGATTCTGTAAAATCTGTCAATTAAGAGCTAACCTTTTTCAAAATAAAAATTAAATTTCTAAAGAAAATAATGGCTTTAAAGTATAATAAAGCCTTGCTATGCATTTCTCCCAAATGACAAATTTACATTTCTGAATATATTTATTCTATGTACATATATTGTATCAAAAATCCCTAAATTTAACAAGCTTCTCTCAAAAATGGCAAATTAATGTAACTGATGCTTTGCTCCTTGTTATCTTTCCTTTCCTTTCATTTAATTTTTTTTTTTTTCCAGTTACCCTATGGTCCATGTTGAGAATACCTGCCGTTTTTCTGGATTCTGTCAGCATAACAGCAGTTTCAATCAGTATTGGTTTTTATGCTGCAACCCTTGAACCACACATCCGAGAGGTAATTTACAAAAACTACTTTAAATGTTGTTTTTAAATTCGACAACTTTTGAAGAGATACCAGTGCCATCCTTTTAATGAAAAGAATGATTTATAATTTATACCATGTCTCAATGTACCTCATGTACCTATGTATCTCAATAATCAGATTTTGAATCTGTACTTGTTTATTTGTGCTCACATAGGGTAAACTCCTTTGAGGAGCCTGGAGGACAAGGCACATAAGTGCAGTTTTTGCTATTTAGAGAAATACGTGTTTGAAGTTTTGAAATTACATGGATCGTTATCGCCGAAAGAAAGTTCAAACCGACTTTTTGATGCTTTTAATTGGAATTTGGGAGCGAATTTTTCACAGAATATGTATTAGGACTAGTTTCACTCGATATCAATAGTATCTCAATTTTTTAAAAAAACTGCACTTAGGCTCCTTATCCTTCAAGCACCTAATTTGTTAAAGCTTGCAAAAGTTGAAAAATTCTCTCCTACTAGCCTAGATTACATTAAATGTTTCTGCTTACCTCATTGTCCACTGCCCTCAGCCTATCTTATCTTTTTTGTCCTAATAAACATATTTGTTTTGATTTTCCAGTTCAACCTTGCACCTGTCCATGTAGGATTAATTTTCATAATTAGTGGTGGCACTTACGCTGTTATTGCTCCTCTTGTGGGTAGAATTTGTGATAAACTAATTGATCCAAAAAAATGCATCATAGTTGGCTGTTTACTCATTGTGATTAGTTTCTCTCTTGTTGGACCAGCCCCGTATCTTCAAGTGCCTAAGTAAGTATCTTTAATTTCATAATATTTTTTTCCGCAGAAGAAATCAAGTGAAATTGTATCCACAACTATTTTGAGCCTCCATTCTTATGAGCAAACCAATACTTTGTCACAGATTTCCTAAATCGCTGAAATTAGGAATGGGTAGAGTTTGGAAGGTTTTGCAATTGTGAATTGTGACAATATTTTCCTGAAATTTTGCAACTGTCCAATTAAATTAAAGATTCAGTCAAAGCACTGGTCACAACCTTTTGATCGGAAAAATACAAAGCAGAATAATGTGTGTGCAGTAACAAACTCATCAAATTCAATTACACACAGTTACCATGTATCAAAACTTTTGAGACTGTAAGTGCAGAAGAGCTATTGTTTTTCAAGTTGTCAAAAAAATATCACTTAAAAATTTTTATTTTTTCCTTTCAGAACATTAACTTTCTGCATCATCGGTTTAGTTATCCATGGTTTTGGACTTGCTGCCATAATGGTACCTACATTTGTTGACGCAATCCGTTCAGCTGTGTAAGTATAATCATTTTTTTATTTTGAGAAATAATTGTACAGAGTGCATGAGAGGTCAAGAGAGAGCAAAAAATAGCAGTCTTTTCATTACTAAGCAGTGAAATTATCCTGGAACAAGATAATGATCAGGATTCATCAAATGTGTTTGAAGTAGAAAATGAGTCGCTCTTTGTTCACTGAACTGGAAAGTCACCATCACAAATCTCCCAGAATAACTTCTGTGAGCAACTTTTAACAGACAAAACGGAAAGAATAATCAAGGGAAGGCAAGTGTAAGGGTAAGCAACATTCAGTTCTTTGCAAAATAATCTTTTAAAAACTTGAATTGAGAGTTGAAAAAAAGTATCTCTAATCAATATTTTACTGATTGCAGCCTCAAAAAAATCGGAAACTGAATCCTGAATTTTTAGTCTTTGAGTCTTACTGTATCAACTTTGACTAGAGCAGGAAGTTTATTTTTGAAATTACTTGTAATAAAAATTTTCTTGGTATACACTGTCCCTCTATTATTGAATTTTTCATAGTTGAATAATGCGTCAGCTTCTGTTGTATGAATGTACTCTTCAGATAAGCCTTTGATTTGATAATTCAAGAATTGAGCCTGGTTACACCTATACCATCTTATCCTTCGAGAAAATCATCTGAAGAGTAATTTTCTTTTTTTTCAGGGAGGCAGGTTTTGCAGATGACATAACAACGTTCGGAGTACTCTCCGGGCTTTGGTCGTCTGCCTTTTCTCTCGGTGCTTTTGTCGGGCCTTCTGTGGCCGGAATTTTGTATGACCTTGTTGGTTTCAGCAATGGAACCTTATTTGTAATCGCCATTCATTCGACTTTGGTAAGTATCAACCCTCATTGAATTTATCATTTATTTTGCATGGTCAGTAGTTCTGGCATTTGAATTTCTGTCTGATTTCAGCAAAGTTTTAAATATTGCTGTTTGAAGTTTAAATCAGATTTTAATGCGAAAATTTGACCGAAAAGATCATTAGAAATTTACTGTAAAAATGTTTTTTTAAGCAATAATTATGCGATCGACTTATCAGCAAATCTCTTCAAAAATTTTAAAATCAAATCATCCGTAGGAATTGTAAACGTTAATATCAGTATGGTGACGTTTTGTGTGCATGGACTTAATACAATATTAGCAATGTCAAGGCTCTGAGTTTTGACTGCGTCTTTTATTTTAGCGTCTGTGCAAGAACACAGTGGATTGAACTTAAATATGTAATTTACCCAATCTAACGGAAAGTAGCCTAGCTTTATCAGTGGGCTGATTGTTAAAATTGATAGACAAAGCGATAGACAAAGAAGATAAATGGAGAATCTATTGGTTGAAATAGGTGGTTCTTATGGACTAAGGGGGTAAATGATGCACTATCTAAAGAGTCTCTTGTAGGTTGCTGTTAGTTACATTATTACCTACCTCCTTTGTCGATTGCGACTACCTGCTTCCACCAATAGGATCCCTTTTGTCTTTTTTGTCTATAGTTCTGTGTATCACTTTGAACAACAAACCTGGAGACGTTTCTAATCTTCTCCAATGTTGAGTTGCTCTGATGTTTTTTAAACAGAAAATTGAATAATGTTGGGACTTGAAATTTTGTGAATATATCCTCCATGATTGAGGGTGATTTCAAAAATTTGAAGGCAAAAAATAGTTAAGTTTCCTGCTAAGAAAGCGTATTTGTTCTCTCAAAAAATCACTATTGGATAAATTTTTCAAATTTTAAGACATCTCTTAGGCTCCAAGATATTATCCAATGCTCTATCTCCGTCTGCTGGCATGAAAACGTTTGTAATGAGAATCTTTCTTTCGGGTTTCAGTTTATTGTTATGATTGCATTTGTTTGGACACGTGACTCTCGACGACGGAAGTTTATCAAACTCAAATTGTACTATGATGAACCTTCCACCAGCTCGGAAGAAGAACTGACTTTAGAAAGTGAATCCCTCAATGCTAAGAAGTCATCCTGTATCAATCTTGTTGCGCAATGGAACCACGAAAATAAGTGTGCTGTATCTGCAAATGGTAGTCTTAAGAATATGAATGGCTACGGATCGATAATAAAAGTTCATAATGGCAATGTGTCAGTCATGTAACCAGTGATAGTGTGAAATTTAAGTACAGTTCACTGTAAGGGCGCAACATTTTTTGCGCAGGAAGTTGGTGACATCACTTGTCAGTGCGTTCATGCTGGTACCACTAAGACAAGTACGGAATTGTCAATGCATTTTTCTTTCAGTTTTGAGTTGGCTTTGACGCCAAGGGAGTTTTTCTAATATCTTTCGTCAGGTTTTCAAAACTGAAATTATGACTCTCACACTGTCTGAAGCACATGTAGAAATATGACTACTCGATTGATAGAAGATGAATCTGAAGAAGACAAGATTCTGCCGCACAGTGAGAAATGTCCGTTCGATGCTGTGTATGCCTAGCAAAGGTCATTATTTATTTTGAATGTATATTAACAAATGTCTGATAACAAGTGGTATCACAGCTGGCTCTCTTACTCTTAACAGAGACCGTTTGTCCGTACTTTTACTTGTTTTGTGAGAAATGGCTTAGTTTTTCAGAACTTTCTTTAGATCTGATCTCAATGCTCATGTTGGTTGGTTCTCCTAACTCTTTTCAAAGCATCTCTTGCTCCCTCGAATATCTAATCAAAATCGTCCCAGAGTCCCACCTCTTGTTGTAAGAGCAATCAGCCAGGACTATCCCTCCATTCACTTTTTCTGCAAACATTGACATAACGTAGACATGACCTTTATTCTACTCGCAGCTGTCTTCCTCGCTAGCTTTTGTGCGTAATTTTATTGTAGTATTTGCATTTCTGTTTGTATCTCTTTTTTTAAAACATTTAGGGAGCCCTAATCATGGCATTGCTTTGTGAAATATTGAAATCCTATCAGTTACGTATTGTATTATGCTAGTACAAATCAAATATTTTGTAAAGTTATGAACCATTAGTAGATGACGTCATGAACAATGATCAGATCAAATTTTTCTCCTTTACTCTCATACCTCCCTTCTTTTGATTATTTCTTTCCCTCTCTTCTTTATCATAGTCTGATACCGCTTATTGCTCTCACCAAAACTAGATTATTCAATGCATGAAAGAATGATATGTAGTTAATGCTCGTATTTTTGTAATTTAGTCATTTACCTGTGTTTTTGTACATTTTTTAGCTTGTTGAGTATTGACACGTTTAGATTTAATATTCCCGAATCGCTTTGTAAGCAGCTGAGTGCCAACGTTCCCATTCTCTTTTCAGCTCAAAACTGTGCAAAAATTAGGAATATATTTTTTGCAGACATGAGAAATTGAGAACTCTCATGTAATTGTTTTATGACTTTAGTTTCTTATTATTTTTAATGGAATTTGTTCAGGATGCTACAAAATAAGTTTTTGTCTTTTTTGTCTCTTTGAAAAATAACATATTACCTTAAATATTCATGTGAATTTTCATTATAATGGAGATTACTGCAACCTTTCAACCCTTCTTTCTTGATTGAACTCAGTCGGAACATGCTGATCCTATTTTCATTCATCAAGGTTCGCTAATCGACAAAAAAAGTGGAGTCCAAACTTTCCTTGAAGCATCCTGTGTATGTCCGGTATTCTTGTAAATATTTCATTTTTTTTATATATACTTGCCGTCTCAGAAATATGATTGAGCTCAAGATTAAAACTTCATCACCACATTTTATCAACCAAACCTCAGGTTGGTGTTATTTCATTGTTGAAAATTGTTATCTACAATGCTCGGCTCATTGATCCTTATTTTCCCTCTTGAATGAGAGTATTATGGTCTTTTGTTAGTTTTTTATGATGGAATAAATTCGACTGTGGAGCTCCCAAACCATGTATCTTGGTTTGCAAAGTTGCAAATTTCCTATCATACTTTATTTTTTAAATAGAAAACTATCTACTCAACAACAATTCTTGAAAACTATTGTGATTTTCTTCTCTGTGTGAGGAAAATTCTGTGAAAACTTCAAGGAACGATGTTGATTTGATCTCCATTAAAAAAATATAATGGGAGCGGAAATTTCAAAATACCGCAAACAAGATACGTAATTTGGCAGTTTCACTGTTAGTTTTCTGTTCAACTTGAGAAAAAGGGGTGTTCAGTGCTTGTCATGAAATACAGAGGAAAGTCATGACTCTATGTAGCTTATTCTTTTCTATAAAAAAAAACTTAGTTTTGTCTGTGAAACTGATCTTGGAAGGTTTTTTTTAGGAGAATGTAGTATCAAACCCCCTAAGTTTTAATTGGAAGAATTATGTATTAGAGTGTATTACATCACGTTTTCATAATCAAATTCACAGAATCAAAAGAAATATATTTTTCCTCTTTATGGTATTTTATCACACATGAAGTCATTGGATGATTTCATCAAATTTTATTGGTTTGAATACTTAAGTGTGAGCTAAGTAAATTTGATCATGATGCAAAGCTAAATCAAATTGTTAACAAAATCATTGAACATTCCCTTGAGGCTTGCAAAGAACTGAGCTATTAATTAGATTTCACATCTGCCCCTCATAATCTTTTTTCCATGCGTCCTACACAAAACATAATCATGTCATATTTGAGTCAGTATGATAATTTGATACAAAGAATCTTCAGCAACCAGAAAAAAGTTTTTTTCCTCTTTTTTTTTTTTTTCTTGTTTGCAATAATTTTGTAAGTTTTAATAAGGAAATATTGTCCATAAACATTTCTTGCGATTCCCTATTCCTTGAAAAAATTTAAAGCTTTGCCATCATCAGCTTCCTGAAATTCATTCATTTTTATTTTAAATTAAATATGTTTCCAAGCTGGTACAATTTTTAAGAAACAAGGAACAAAAAAATTCCAACTTTTATAATTATTATACAGATTGTAAATATCTGTTTAAGTGGTTTTCTTTTCTTTTTTTTCTTTCTTTTTATTTGAAATTCCTTTTGAAAATTTGTGATAAATTAATCATATTACTCTATTCTAATGTACATTTATTTTTATGATTAGGTATTCTTATGTAATTCAAATATTCTTAATATAGTGCACCAATAATCTCAAAACGTTTATACCACATCATAGTAGTTTCTTCTTCAATCTAATAATATGTATTTGAGTTATTAACTTCAAGTTTTCCCAATTCAAATAAAACAGGAAATTGAACTTTGATAAATATTGCTCCATGCTATCTGAAATTGTTCCGTGTTTCAGTAATATCAGTAAACTTTGCTAAATGTTTCTAATTCCATTTTTAATCTATTAATTTTGTTTCTTTTAGGTTTTTTTTTTTTTTTTTTTTTTTTTTTTTTTTTTTTTTTTAGAAAATTTTCTCTATTCGCAGGCTCCAGCTCATTTTCAAAATTCAGTGACACATTATTTTATTTTACGTAAATTGGAGAATATTTTGTAGGGAAAATATTTTTTTTTTAGAAAAGTAGGAAAGGGCGCTACGGCTTGTCCTACTTCATCAAATTCTTCTTACCCATGCTTGTGTTTGATACACTTTCAATATCTGTACTATAGCAGGCTTTCTAATTTTTGAGATTATTAGGCGCTGCTTTGACTTCTTTTTTATGAAAAACTAGCCACAACATTGAATGTATAATTTTTACTTAAAATGTAATACTAACAATGTACATTTAATATATACTACGTGATCTTAGTTAGTAAGGTATCCTTCGAATTAAATATCAAGCACCTGCTACTTACTGTATTCACAGGAAAGTAGTGAATAGTTGCTCCTGCCTTTTATTGAAAATTATTTAAGATCTATAACTTTTTTTCTTAAAGACTATTATCTGCAGAGAGGCAACAGGTTTTTTGAAATTTCGCTCAAAAAAAGAAACTGTACAAGAAAGCTGAGGAAACATACAAAATTCTTTTTCTAGTTACAAATTTTAGTCATAAGTAACTTTTCAGTAACTTAATTACCAAACTAAGAGAGGAGTAAATAACAATTATAAGTGTACATGTTTGCAAGGCTTTGTTGCTAGCAACTGTGTTTTGTAAACTTTTTGTCGTATCCATTAAGCTGTATGTCAATGATGAATGTACAGAATGTGTAGGTACCTTGTTTGCGTTGTATCCAAATCTCCACAAACCAATGCTTTTGCTCGAAATTTTTATAAATCATTTTTCCCACAGAGGTGAAAAATCAAGAAAGTTTTCTAGACATGATGGAGAGTATTTTTCCCTCTAAACAATGAAGCATGACAGGATATTGGCAAACCAAGATACGCGTCCCTGCTTTTCACCGTTGATATCGGTTTGGTTGAATCGGAAGTGACTCTTAGAGGTTAAATTTTCTCGTAATTTTGTTACTGTAAAGAAATATCCTGCAAGTCTGATTTTTAATTTTTTTATTTCTAATTTTTCTTCAAAATGAGGTTTTATTTCCACGTACACGCTAAGTTTTTAGAATTTTATACTGATTTGTTTTCGTTGATGTGATTGTTTCCAGCAAAATGTGCATGGAATTTCAGTAAGTATATTTTCCTCTGTTCAACCGTTAAATTTGTTTCTCGTTTTTTTCATGTCTCTTTTCTTTGAAGTCTGTTCATTTCTTTTTTGTTATCATATTTTTTTTCTCTTTCTTATTGTGCAATAGTATTAAGCAACGGCCAAGTACAAATTGAATTCAATATCTATTGAGAACTCAAGCTCTCCAAAAAGTTTTTGGATGCTAGAGAATGTTCTTGCAATCTCCGGAACGTTCAGTTGGAAATTCTACCGAAGTTAATTTTTACGAGATAAAAAGTCTTTTTGTACCTACCACAAGTTTCCAAAATCAAAATAATAAGTGAGTTATGTCACTCCAACCTGTACATATGTTTTCAGGGGGTGGTTTAATGATCCCTATTTCATGTATAGCTGCATTGTTCTTGACTTACTAAGAGAGGTTTCTTAAAAATATTTCAAACAACCTGTTTTAAAATTTGTTCTGTCGGTTTTGTATTTTTCAATTACTGGTCACTTCTAAAATTCGTTTCAATGCAATTTTATACAAATATTACCTACTTCAGCAATTTACTTTCATCTAATTACAAAATATTTTCGACTTTGTTCTTTGATATTCAAAGGTTTGAAAAATTTTAGTTTAATGTATTTTAAGCATTAATCCAGAAGCTAGGTACCCATTTTAGAAGCTCGAGATCAACTGCTAGTAAAACCAGTAAAGATATTAAGTCTTTACTTTTTGGTATTTCCTTTTAAGTTTATAAGTAAAGAAAAAGAACTTAATTTGAATGTTTGTAAAGGGGTTTTTTTTTTCTTCGTCGAAACTGAGTTTAAGGTACTAAAATTCAAACCTAAGACTCATCGTTCTTAATTGCGCTGTTTCACTTTCTCTCTCACCGCCATTCTGCTCATCACTGTCCTTTCGAATATGATTATTTTTTTGTAAAAACTCTTGACTTGTATTCTTATTTTATGAGTTAGTCTTGAAGTTAAAATTTTCTACTAGTTATGCCCTATTCATGTTGATTTTTAATAAAAAAAATATCTCCTTTTTTATCTCTGTTCTTTTACATTTGTATTTATAAGTTTGTTATCATTCATAAATTACCCTCTCTTTTAGAAAAAAAGTGAATACCTTCGGACACAATTTCCACACGAATAAATTACAAATTAAATGGAAAAGACATAAAGAACAACTTATTTACCGGAAACCGCTGAATTGGGTGCTTGTTCTCTCCACAAGACATTTTTGCATCATTGTTTGCTGCATTATATAGTGCACAATTTTTTCTGAATTTTTGAGAATGAACGCAAACTTGATACACATTTAAGATGTATGACTCTGTAAAGTTGCCGCCAGTTTGCTTATTGAAGCGATCTAAACAAGAAACTTGATGTGCAAAAATGTCAAGTAGAGAAAAGGTAATAATGTCACTAATCCACTCGAAAAATACTTTACAGTTGTCATGGTTACCTCTTATAGTTTCCTTTAAATAGAAAAAAAAATCTTCAGCAACTAAGGAGGTTTTCAGTTGATGACAAATGTTGATAATAATTCTTGAAAAACTCGACTTCATTTTAAGCATTTTGATATATCTGCATGAGGAAACTCATATCATGTATTTTGTTTCTTGTACCCTGGTTACACGATCAAATTGAACCATCAAATTGGGCCTCTCATTGGTCGAATCCTCACCTCAGGTCTTTTTCCACCAATCAGAGCTTCAGTTTGATGGCTCAATTTGATCGTGTAAGTGAGCCGGAATTAGTAGCTCCTTACTGCAAAACGTACTTCGATCTACTAGATATTAACAAGCCAATTTTACCTTCACGGAAAAAGAATGGATTGCTGATTTAACAATTCAATCGTTAAAGTGACTGCAATGTTTCAGATGTACATTTTACAATAGTGGAAAGCTAATTTATCTACAGGGGTGGTTAAAGCAGCATTTTTCATTGTGAAATCTACATTGAAACATTGCAGTTATTTTTTTAGCTACAAAATTGTTAAATCAGCAATTTAAATTTTTCACTCTAAATTTCCATGGTGATTTTGCAAAGTTTTTAAGTATAGCACACTAAAAATCATACATGAATGCGCTGCTGTGTAATTTTAGTTAATTGAGGATAAATTGATGTTATTTCCAGGGTTTAGAGTCATATACTTTATGCTTTTCAAATAAAAACTTAATTTCCAACTCAAGTTGAGAACAAAGTTGCTGCTTTATGAGAGCTATGCATCAATGCAAAAACTTCGC